TAAAAATATTTTATAGTATACTACTTGCTTTTATATTTATTCTATTGTTGGACTCCCACATTGCAACTTTCTCAGGAGAATTTTCCTGCAAATAGTAACTTTTTTTCTCATCTTATACTGAAGGAAGCAAACTGGGAACTTCATAAACCAGCATCAAGGATAACTTTCAGCAAATTCAAAACAAATAAGTAGGGTCCCAAAGGTGCTTTCTCCAAGAGGCAGGTAGACTTTCTGGTTTTATTTGAAGTCTTGTCTGTCTTGAAAGAAAAACCAGAAAGTTCACCTGCCTCTTGGAAAAGCCACCTTTGGGACAGCCATGACCTGGATGACTTGAGAATCTCCATAGACAATTAAGTGTAGGGTGCAAGAGCTAAGAGGAAAAATCATTGCCCAGAGGATCATTGGTTGCCCTCTCCTCTTTGGAAGATCTTTATAGCTCCATTGCCTTAAGAAAATTCAAAACATTCTTAAATAGCCATCTCATCCTGGGCACCTTTTTGGAAAACTATTAGACTGCACAGGACAATAAAAACCAGGGACAAATAGGCTGAAAACAGCTTCTATCCCAGAGCAATAGCTATATTGAATTCTACTATGTAGTGCAATATTAATACAATATCAGGGGTTTTCAATTGAATTGCATAGAATGTAAAGGATGTATGGTATGTTTATTTTATTTTTAGCTATAATGTACATAGAAAACGGCATTTAATTTTGTTGTGATGCAATGACAATAAACTAAGCATACTTGCTGCCTTCATTAATGTTTACTGATCAAGACTTCCATTTGTTAAAAACGGGGGTGGTGGTGCAAGGGAGAAATCCCTAGTTTTTAGGCATGGAGGGGTAGAATCCCTAGATCAAAAAACCCTAAATTTTTGGGCTTATAGCACAAATGATAAAATACACAGCAGAAAAATTAAACTGGATGGAGATTCTGTAAAACGGCCTGAAAATAAAGATTCCATGCTATTGCTAAAAGCATTTAAGATCAGTCTAACGTTCTTAGATTGTTCCATGTGAACGATATTGTGGGTGTCAGCTCCTTTTAGGAAGAGATGTTGGCTCTTAAAAGAGCCTTTGGGGGGTATCAGTGGGCCAGGGGTGCGTCCTTACGCCCTCTCCCCGCGGATGCGTCGGGCCAGCTGGATGTCTTTGGGCATGATGGTGACGCGCTTGGCGTGGATGGCGCACAGGTTGGTGTCCTCGAAGAGCCCCACCAGGTAAGCCTCGCTCGCCTCCTGCAGAGCCATGACGGCCGAGCTCTGGAAGCGCAGGTCGGTCTTGAAGTCCTGCGCGATTTCGCGCACCAACCGCTGGAAGGGCAGCTTGCGGATCAGCAGCTCCGTCGACTTCTGGTAGCGGCGGATCTCGCGCAGGGCCACGGTGCCCGGCCGGTAGCGGTGAGGCTTCTTCACGCCGCCCGTGGCCGGCGCGCTCTTCCGCGCAGCCTTGGTGGCCAGCTGCTTGCGGGGCGCCTTCCCGCCGGTCGACTTGCGAGCCGTTTGCTTGGTGCGAGCCATCCTCTCGCTTGAAGTTCGGATGTGAAATTCCGAGAAATGAAGCAATAGGTATCGTCTGCTGGCTTTTTTATAGCCCGCGCCTTGAGCCTGATTGGGTGAAACGGTTGAATTCGAATGTCTAGTCTCGACGGTGATTGGATACTCATTGAAACCATACCTTTCCTCGCTCTGCCTTCTCCACCGATCCTCGGTTTGCCGAGGTTTTGTTTCCACGCCCACAATATTCCTACTGTGAATGAATTACAAAATATCAACCCTTGGCAATGGTCCTTACGTTTCCCCCGAAGCTGTTTCAAATTACCAAATGAAATCGAGGGGATTAAAAATATCCAGCAGTGGTGCGTTTCATCATTTGGCCTTTGTGTTGGTACAGCCAGGGTACTGGAATAGTAATTTCGTAATTAGTAAATACGGCAGAATCCAATGTTGACCTAAGCAAAAGTGCAAATCCTTAGCCTTTCACTTTCATTTACTCTGTTTTCATTCCTAGGTTTTATAATGCCCAATTTTAATTGCTTTAAGAAGCTTTTTTTGCAGATGACACCACATTGGTGGGACTCATATCAGGAGAAGACGAGACGGCCTATAGGCCAGAGGTTCTCAGACTGGTCTTGTAGTGCAAGAATCATAACCTCGCCCTGAACATCAAAAAGACCAAAGATATTACAGACTTCAGAAGATGCAAAGCAGAGCCTCTCCCACTATATATCAATGGAGACTGTGTGAAAAGAGTTCACAGTTTTAAATTTCTAGGAACTCATATTCTGACAACCTTATTTGGTCAGTCCACACTATGGCCACTGCAAAGAAGGCCCAACAGCACCTGCACTTTCTGAGGCTGCTGAAAAAGCGTGGTCTGGGTGAGAAGTTGCTGGTTACTTTTTACCATTCTACCTTCAACAGCATTTTGGCATACTGTGTAACGGTGTGGTATGCTGGATGCTCTGTAGGATAAAAAGATGCTCCAGAGAGTTATAAACACAGAACAAAAAATCATCGGTTGCTCTCTTTCTTCTTTGGAAGAGATTGTGAAGACCAGACTCCTCTCTAGAGCAGTGGCCCCCAACCTTTTTTGTACCACGGACCGGTACCGGCATCACAAAATGATCCACGGACCGGTACCAGCATCAGCACGCACGACCAAGGCAAGGCGAGCCGAGCGACCGGCCAGCCAGCCGTCCCCTGCTTCTCCCCGCCACCTTCAACTCCTCCTTTGTATCTTTTTTGTGCTTTTCGGGCTCTTAATCTCCTCCTGAGTAGCGTGAGACTCCACCGCCATTGGAACGGCTCTTTGAAGCTGCTCCCCCCCTTTGAAGAAACTAAGGCGCGAGGATTCCTTCAGCACCCAAACGCCACTTTCCAACAACCGACAACTGACAAGCTCACCTGGAAGCACTTTCTCAAGCACCGTCGAAACAAGATGGCGGTGCCCAAAGAAACCAGCGGCCCGGTACACAATGATCCACGGACTGGTACTGGTCTGGGGCCCGGTGGTTGGGGACCACTGCTCTAGAGCACTAAAAATCTCCACAGATCATTCTCATCCTGGACATTCATATTTTGAACTGTTACCATCAGGGAGGTGTTATAGGTGTCTTAAAATGAGGACTAATAGACTGAGAAGCAGTTTCTTTTCCAAGGCAATAATTGTCTTGAATCAAACAATGCATATGTGATTTAGCCCTATGTATATAGTGGCATTTTTAAACTAATTACCTTACTATATGTTTTAGATAGGCTTTAGACTAGGTTTTTAATTATTATTTTAATTTTTAAATACTCTGTAGTGTGATTGTGATGTCGTGTTTGGGACACTCTGCTGGAGTAGCTTTCAAATTTCATAGTATTTGTAAAATGCAATGACAATAAAGGTATTCTATTCTATTCTATTCTATTCTATTCTATTCTATTCTATTCTATTCTATTCTATTCTATTCCATTCCATTCCATTCTTTTAGTTTTGTAGGTCAAAATGGCAATGTTCTGCAGGCATATAAGTCTTCTAAATTCTTTTGGGGGGGTGCACTCTGCTGTGTGCATAAGGCACACATTTTCAACAAGCAGAAATACGGATACATTTGTGGTTTTATTAATTAGTACGGTCTTTGTTGGGTTAGATACATTTTAACTCTTAAGATTAATGCCTACCACGGAAACTGCCCTATTTACACAACGTGTCAGTTGCTTCAAAAGAAAAGCAGCTTGGATCTATGAAAAATAGGATCTTTCTCTCTCTCCCTCCCTCCCTTTCTCTTTCTTCCTCCCTCCCTCCCTCTCTCCTTCCTTTTCTCTTTCTTTTCTTTCCTTTTTCTCTCTCTCTTCCTCTTCTTCTCGCTCTCCTATATCCTATTTTAAATAGATCCAAGCTCTGTGTGTATGTGAGTGTGTGTATACATATACATATATATATATACATACATATAATTTATATTGCTGCCTATTTGCCCATGGCGACTCGAGGCGGCTTACACAATGTAAAACCATATTTAAAACAAAAAATAAAAATAATAAAAACTAACAAAAAGAATCAAATAAATTAGTAAAGTACAATAGAACAAAATTTAGAAAAAAATAAAAAATATGTATATATATATATTGGTATATATATAAATATATAAAAGCAGCTTGGATCTATATAAAATTGGATATGTATAGCTACTTTTCTTTCTATATATATAAAAACTCGTTTTATTGCTTAGTCCACCGGATTGGTGACTACTCTTGAAGGAATTGAATTGCATTCATTAAACTGTCCACTAACAGTAGCCTGCCAGTAGGAAATTGGATGTTGTTGGTGATTTTGATTAGCCAAACAGGAAATGTCCTTTTAAGTTTGAAATTGCTGCCATGGGCCACAGCTATTTTATGTAGACACATCGTTATTTCATTTCCCTTGTTTTAAAAAGCTACTGTTTACAAACTGAGCATTCATTAATTTTATTAACACATTTTATATTATTTACTATCTTAATGCACGGCAATCCAAATGGATTTTCTTGGGTTTGCTACTCAAATTAAATTTGGATTTGGGCTCTGAGTTCGATGGGATATCAGAGGTGCTTTTTGCAAATGAGCTTTGTATTTTCCTTGAAAATGTTTTGCTTCCCATTCAAGCTGTTTCAGTTGAACTTCCAAAAACATTCTTGGGATGAGAAGCCAAAAGTTTTCAAAGAAAAAAAACCTCAAGGAAGTCAAGTTGCCTTTTGAAAAAAAATGCACCTTTGGGGCAATTATGACTGGTATTGAGAAACTACATAGCTTCAATGGAATAGTTTAGATACGTTCACCTGGATGGATCAAATGTAGTTATTTTCATTATAATTTAGGACTTAACAAAATCAATTTTATGTATATTTTAACCTCTAGTACTTTTGTAGAGGAAATTTTTATAAAATATCTCAGGATTTTCACTTGACTTGACCCAAGCTCTTTCCAGGAAAAGGTGGGTGGCTCTTAAAAGAGCCTTTGGGTGTCGTTCTTAGCAGCCGAGAGGGAGCAGGCAGGCGGGCGGTTGGGCTCTACTTCCCTTTGGCCTTGTGGCTCTCGGTCTTCTTGGGCAGCAGGACGGCCTGGATGTTGGGCAAGACGCCTCCCTGGGCGATGGTCACTTTGCCCAGCAGTTTGTTCAGCTCCTCGTCGTTGCGGATGGCCAGCTGCAAGTGGCGCGGGATGATACGCGTCTTCTTGTTGTCCCGGGCCGCGTTGCCCGCCAGCTCCAGGATTTCGGCCGTCAGGTACTCCAACACGGCGGCCAAGTAGACGGGCGCCCCGGCTCCGACTCTCTCCGCGTAGTTGCCCTTGCGAAGCAGCCGATGCACACGGCCCACAGGGAATTGGAGCCCGGCGCGGGAAGAGCGAGTCTTGGCCTTAGCTCTGGCTTTGCCTCCTTGCTTGCCGCGTCCAGACATGTTAAGATTCAGGAATAACAACACAAAGCGGCTCGATCCGAGAACAACGACTCCTACTTGGACGCTTTGTCTCATTTTATTCACTCGAAAAGCTTGTAAATGTGGATTCCCATTGGTTCGCATCCGCCGAAGTTCTTCTGCATCCAATGAAAAAAACAAGTCTTTTCGGCCGCCCAATAGAGAAGAGGCGCTCTATGCAGCCCAATAGAAATCTCTTTTTCAGGATTCAGTCATTAGCATAGTACGGATGTGGGTGGGGCTCTGCTTCTGAGCCAATGAAAAAGGGAGGTTTTGATCAGCTTCATTTGCGTACAGCCTCTATAAATAGGGGCCAAGCAGAGGCTCTTTAGTTTGATTTGTTTTGGTTAGTCTGCTTTTTTGTTGGCGTTTTGATCATGCCTGAACCGGCTAAATCTGCTCCCGCGCCCAAGAAGGGCTCCAAAAAAGCCGTGACTAAGACTCAGAAGAAAGGAGACAAGAAACGCAAGAAGAGCCGCAAGGAGAGCTACTCCATCTACGTCTACAAGGTGCTGAAGCAGGTCCACCCTGACACTGGCATCTCCTCCAAGGCCATGAGCATCATGAACTCCTTCGTCAACGACATCTTCGAGCGTATTGCTGGAGAGGCTTCCCGCCTGGCTCACTACAACAAGCGCTCCACCATCACCTCCCGGGAGATACAGACGGCCGTGCGCCTCCTTCTGCCTGGAGAGCTGGCCAAACACGCCGTCTCCGAGGGCACCAAGGCCGTCACCAAGTACACCAGCTCCAAGTAAACAAGCTTGCAAACAAGCTTCCTTTTATTTTGCCAAATCCAAAGGCTCTTTTAAGAGCCACCTACATTCTCAAAAAAGAGCTGCAGCTTTTTCAAAAGTCCAGTTTGCAAAGACTGACTATTCCTAAGGCATGAATGCAAGAAAAGAATACAGCCTCAAAGTTTAAATCTCTTTAAAAATCGTTATTGAATACAAAGATTAGAAAACATGGGCTAAGAAAAAGGTTTTAAAATCTAAAAACTAGAGGTGAAGGGGAGGAAGATACATTGAGAAAAAGGATTTATTTTTAAAGGAAACCAGTTTAGTCTATGATTAAGACAACCTGGAGACAAATTCTAGTCCCTGGTTTAGGCATGTGTGTGTTGCATACTTCTGCTTGTATCAGAGGAACTACTCAGGCCAGTTTCAACCTTAGCGATTTTAAGATGCGTGGACTTCAACTCCCCGAATGCCTCAGACAGTACGGCGGCAGTTGAAATCCACGCGTTTTAAAGTTGCTAAACTTGAGGAAGAAAAATACTTTGAGCAGTTGCTCCAGTGGCGCAATCGGTTAGCGCGCGGTACTTATATAGCAGTACTTTGCCTCTAGCGATGCCGAGGTTGTGAGTTCGAACCTCACCTGGAGCAGTGACCTTTTCCTCTGCGAAGTTATTCCTGGGAGTTATTTACTCCCATCCTGATTTCTAATATATATTTCAAGGTGATTAATAGACTTGGATTAGATTGTTACTTATGAAGAAATTTGGATTTGGGGCTTTCCTTTCTCTTATGGGCTTTTTTTTTTAATTGCATGAAAGGGAGAGGCATTCCTTGAAGAAAGTTTAATGAAGCAGGAAGGATAAATTATTGAAGGGGCTTGGAGAATCCACACATTTACCCAATGGCGCCACCTTGTGGAGATCCTGAAACACAACCTCTAGGAATTGTTAACTTTGAAAAAAAAAAGCTAAAACATATAAGCGTTGGTGGTATAGTGGTGAGCATAGCTGCCTTCCAAGCAGTTGACCCGGGTTCGATTCCCGGCCAACGCAAAAGTCTATTTTTCTTCCTTTTCTGTAGAAATTCTCATCCCAAAAGTCCTTTTTCCCAAAGGTTCTTTCTCAGGAGGCAACTGGACTTTCTTGGTTTTTCTTTGAAGATGTTTCGCTTCTCATCCAGGAAGCTTCTTCAGCTCTGGATGGTGAGTAGAACTGAGGAAGCATCTTTGATGAGAAGCAAAATGTCTTCAAAGACAAAAACCAGAAAGTCCAGTTGCCTCCTAAAAAAGCACCTTTCGGTGGCCTAAAGGCACCCAGCTAGCTTTCATGCCGAAGGTTGGCACTATAACTCAGACCCCGCCCCCAACCGCCCCCTCATCCCGGTTATTGGCCCAGTGCCACACAGCAGCTTTCATGCCTAAATCAGGACTAGAATTTTAGCTCCAGGTTTATTGTCTGCTGCCTTAACCATAGACCAAACTGGTTTGCTTTAAAAATAAATCATTTTTTTCAATGCATCTTTTTCTTCTTCTCCTTCCTCTCTAGTTTTTAGATTTTTAAATCTTTTTCTTAGCCTATATTTTCTAATCTTTGTATTCAATAATGATTTTTAAAGAGATTTAAAATAACTTCCAACTTTGAGGCTCTGCATTCTTTTCTTGCATTCATGAATTAGGGAGACAGTCAAAGTCTTTAACTGATATTCCTTAGTTCTTCGTGAATTCAGTCTAGAAGAGTTACTAATAGTACTAAATTTCTTGGTGGCTCAAAGCAGATGAAAATCTTAATTTTTTTAAAAAAAGAAAAGGCTATCAAGAGGGGGATTCGAACCAATGCCTCCAGGAAAGACTGTGACTACGAACGCACCGGCTTAGACCGCTCGGCCATCCTTATTTCTCTATAAAAAAAAAAAAGCTTCCCCCCAATGTCTTTGGTAATAATATATTTTTAACATCTACAATGAAGTATAGTCACACCATAGATTAAGACATATGAGGACAGCATGCAGGTTTCGTAACAATCCAGGTAGTCGTGGCCGAGTGGTTAAGGCGATGGACTAGAAATCCATTGGGGTCTCCCCGCGTAGGTTCGAATCCTGCCGACTACGAGAGATCTTTTTTTTAAATCAAAACATAAAAAGTCCTCTTCTCTAAATATCCTACCTTCTGTTTCTTCCACAAGTTTAAAGTCGTCTCTTTTTAAAAGTTTGCCAGGCCAGGTGATTATCTGGGAAAAAACCCATCTTATTTGCAACCCCACTTTCCAAAATCCCTCTCTTAATGTACTATTGCATATCATTGATATATGATTGCATTTTATACTTACATATTATTATATAGTATTTATTATATTAATTTTACTAATACCTTGCCTCTGCTCTCACCCACTAGCATGCTAATACCTCGTTTGATTTGGATTTAGGATGCCTTGTGAATCCCCTCAATCGTGGCTTATACAAACTATGGCTAGTGAAGTATATCAAACCCACTTGCTGGGACAGTTAAAACTTTTTATCTAAATACAATAACATGTTATTGGGGTGGATTTAATTATAGATGTATAGTATTTTTATTTTATCCAATTCAATGGTCTGAATTCCACTTTCTTGAGATGAATCCTGAGTGCTTTCTTTGCAAGAATTTTGCTCCCAATACGGGATTCCGACTTCTGCACTTTGAATATACTCAGAGGTAACCTTTGCAAGGCCATTCTCGTTCCACTAGAGCTCAGGTCCGAGTATAATCTATGAATAAAGAGTAGGAGGGAGCAGATTTCTTGCTGCTCCAAAGATGAATCTATCGTGGACAGCATCATTTATTTAACGTGAATTGGATTTTTTCTACTACCAGGAATTTTCAAAACATTCCATTGCAAGGCGTTGGTGGTATAGTGGTGAGCATAGCTGCCTTCCAAGCAGTTGACCCGGGTTCGATTCCCGGCCAACGCATGTGATTTTTATGTTCCAAAAGAGTCTGTTGTATGGTAATAGAAAAGATTTAAAAAGAAAAGCATTTTTTTAAAAAAAACTTAATTTTTTAATGATGTCTCTACATTTATTCAGCTCTTCTTACTAAATAAATTTCTGAGTGTTCACACAAACGGATTCCAGAAAGATTTATAGCACACACCTTGCCACAAGGCAGTTAAGTTGGCTAGTTTTTTTTAAAAAAATGCTGGATGGTTTATAGCCTTTTCCACAAATTCAGCCTATTGATTTCATTTTTACAGCTGACTATGACATATCTGATCATGGTTGAATTCTCAATCCTAATCCTATTGCGATATCAATATATTGTACAAATTCAGAGAACCATTAATTGTAGCGTGGAAAGAAATATCCATCCGGTTCAGTACCAAGCTGGGAGAAAGACATTGGAAACATTGGGGGCTGATTGGAAAGATGGTTTATTGATGAAGCAGAGCCACCTCGGTTGTGGATCTGTGCAGCTGACCAATTGGTTTGATGAGTACATGGCTTTTTGTAAGGTTCAGAGATGCTGGTAGGGGGGTTGTGCAATGTTTGAAATGCCCTTAGGAGAGGGGTGTCAAACCTGGGGTGCTTCGATCTGGGGTGCTTAGATATGGCTTGCAGAGCCATCCTGGAAACTGCAAAGGATTGGCCTGTGGTGCCTCTGCCACCAAAAATGGAGCTCCTCCCAGGCCCCGTTTTTGGCTGCAATGGCTTCCTGCAGCCCTCTGCCAGAGAAAACAGAGCTCCGTTTTCACTGGCAGAGGTCCACAGGAGGTCATAGTGGCTGAAAACAGAAATTGGGAACCCATTTTCGCTGGCTGACCACTTGGACCACCACAGGCACTCCCGACACAAGTGACATCAAGCTGACCATGCACACACCTTGGCCATGCCACCAAGCTGACCATGCACACACCTTGGCCATGCCACAACACTGCCCCCCCCCCCCAGGTCAAACACAACTCTGATGCAACTCTCAATGAAATCGAGTTTGACACCCCTGCCATAGGAGAGTGTGCGATGTAGTAAGCTCTGGGTCTTCTGCTAAATGGTAGTGGGTTAATCCAATTATGTTGTTGGAAGAAATTTCCTGAGTTCGTTTCCCAGCTGGGAAGCAGTTGCTGATGCTGAAAAGAAACAGACATGGAAGTCAGCTGCCAGAAAAGGGATCTTTTAATTTAGGAAGGCAAGAAAAGTAATGACACAGCTCAGGGAGTTCCTGGCTTGCAAGCAGATTGGGTGTGTGTGTGTGTGCATATCTGAGCCTTTTATGCT